CCATACGATCCCCTGTACCGCGAAGTGATGCAAATGACGTCCGACGCGTTGCGTGTGACCAGTGGTCAGGGCTGTCCATTTCAGGACGATTTCATGCAATGTATTTTGCAGGGCATGAGAATAGTGTCGCCCAAAGACTACAACGATTTGCACGGATTACCCAATTGAAGCCAATTAGTTGTGTCCACTCTATTGAATCTCAATGCAAATGCTTTTATTCCAAACTATTTAATGTTTAATTGTATTTGAATTGTTTTGTAATTTGTTTCACAATTCATAATTAGATAAATTCAAATTTTTTGAATCACAGTTAGAAATTTAGACACATTTTGATCACTACTTTTAATAATACACAAAATGTGTTTTAATGACAAAAACAAATCAATCAAAACCTGTCACACAATGAGCTTAATATAATTCAAAATATTTAATTATGTTTAATATATTAAAACGAAATCAAAACTCAATTATGTAACAAAAATTGTTTATCAAAACTATTGGTAATTAATTAAAACTATTATAACTCATAAAAATGGAAAATATTTTCATAACTCATATATTTTAATTATACATTTGTTTTGCAAGCTTTTAATGCTTTTTCTCTTTGATTTTTGTAATTCATGTCTTATTTGTTATATTGATTGTAACCCTAATTATATGTTTTATTACAACTAATTTGATAAATCCTTTTAAATAAACAATTCAATAAATATATTAATTTTTATTTTAATGCTTTTAAATGTGCGGCAATTGTGTTAAGTAATAGTTTTGGGACAAATAATGTGATGATTGATTTGAGTCAACTTTTTGTCTAACTTTTCAGACAGTAATCCACAGATGAGTCCATAAACTGAGAGACACTTTACGGGTTTATAATGTCATTAAATATATCTAGTATTCAACGGATATAATCACACTGTTATTTCCCACTCACTCCATACTTACCTGTACTTCACAATACGATTTATATAATAAAACGGTAAAACATAATACAGTGAAAGCTCGATATAGTGCTTGAGCAGTTGGAGAAGTTTTTAGGACACTATATCGAATGAACACTATAGCGAATGTATGTGGAATAGTAGTGAAAATAAATGCATATACTGTTAAAATGAAATAGTCATTTATTTCGATTGTTTAATGGTTTTGAGAGAGAAATTTTATATTTGTTTATCAATTTAAATAAAACTTTTTCATTTCAAATCATTGCAGGACAAAAAAATAATTGTCTCATACCATAAAACACTATAAAGAGTGTAAAAATAGTCAAATATGACCAAAAATATCAAAATTTTGGCCACTATATCGAATATACACTATATTGAGAGTCACTATATCGAGCTTAATTAGCATTACAGGTATACAGTGGCCGCCAAACAAAAATATTTTGGACACTATATCGAAAAAACACTTTATCGAGCCTTACTCTATCGAGCTTTCACTGTATACTGTATGTTAAAAATTAACCATATACAGATAAACAGGTTTAGAAAGTAGATAATGAAATGATTAGAATTGCACTTTCAATGTACTTGTTGTGTGATTTCTTTAATCATAAACAATTAGTGTTTATTTCAATATTATAACAATTTTATAATGAAATTATTATAATGTATTGACAAATTACTTGCGAATAACGTCCATTTTATTGCTTTCCAAACCTTTGCTAAAATTATTAATTTTTTGAAAATAATATATTATGTAATTAATTCTGAAATTACAATAAATGTAGAGATAATTAAAGCGGAGATTAAAAGCCAGAAAACGTCCCTCAAGTCAGTGATGGTTACGGAAGAGATAACTAGTGTTGGCTTCGGTTGGTCTGTGATGTCGGCCTCATATCCATTGGGTTTCAAAATGAATGCAAAATTAAAACAATACAAATATCTAAAAGTTTGGCCAAAAAACACAAATAAAATGTTAAAATTGTGATCTAAATGTTACTCAAACCCTATTATAATTACTATATTTAAATTTAACAAAAAAATGTGAATTAAAACCTATAAATAAAATGCAAACTATAAATGGTGTTTGAATAGTGTTTTTAATTGAAATAATATGGTCTCTAATACTTTGTAAAGAGTGCAGTCATACCGGGCCTATTGAGTAGAACGGGTTTTGTGGCGCTTGGGATTGTTTGATCGGTCACCCGTGCCGTACGGATGGAGTCGATTGGATCCGCTCAGTCCGTGACGGCTCGTCGAAGTGGATCCGTGTCCGGAGCGGTGCCGTCGGTTGCCTCCACCCACTGGCGGCTGCGGCTGTTGCTGTTGAGGGGCTGCTTGTGGTGCGACGGCCGCCGGTTGTCGCTTGTAGTACGTGGCCCACCACCAACCGATCGGCGGAGAATCTTGCTTTTTCTGCCACACGTAGCCATCCATACCGATGTAGGCGTTGACGCCATCGCACGCCACCTCCGGATCGGTGCCATACCCTTGCCTTTCAAACTGATAAATGTGTTGAATAGTGGACACATCCGACACCTCATACGTGTGCCACCCGTCTCTCACCCCTGTCTCATTCCGTACGGCTCCGTTCCCGTCGTACATATACTTCACGTGTTTACCGCCCGTATGGGGAGCCGTATACTTGTTGTAGTGGAGTTTGGGCACTGCCGGGTCGTATTGGATCAATGGGAAGGCCGGTTTCATTGGGGGTCGGGTCAGGGGGTCGTTCAAGTCTCCGAACCACACCCACACCCGATGCGAGTTGTATGCTATGGGCGGATGCGGAACCGTTTGATGGATTTCCAGCTGACGGGTTCGGAAGCGATTGTCGAACCGATGAATGTCGACCCAAATGTCGCGCGGAATCATTTGGCCGCCGATCTCTTCCCGATTGGTTATTATCCTAAGCGCCATATCCTGTGTGGGCGCCGCCCACCCGTACCTGATGTACGCATTGTTGTCCATCTGAACGGTAGCCCTGTGTAGCTCTTGATACCGATGTCGGGCCCATATCTCCTGCATGCCGTCCTCCCATTCGGTGATGGCCTCAATGTGTCCGCACTCAGGCATATACAGGAAACACTGGCGCCTCCCGTCTGTAGGCGTTTGTTCGTAACGTTTGATCGACAATTCCCACACACTTGAGCCGTGGTCCGAGTCGTGTGCGCCCAAAAAGTAAACCGGATTGCGAGTGTGTGCGTCCCTCACAAGCGGTGCCATCAAATCATTTTCACAGACCAAAGGGTGTGTCCCGTTGTTCGCAATAATATCACCCAAAGAGATGTTTCGGCCGAGTATTGGCACCCGGAGTATCAAATAGTCGTCGCACTCGACTATCACTACACCGCCCGCCTGTATGAGTGTCCGGTTGTGTTGGTTGACGACGTTGTGATTGGGGCCGTACTCGTCATACACGACCAGTTTGGCTCCGGCGCACACATAGATGGCAAACCGGCGCGGATTGGGACCCACAGCCACATTGGCCCAGTTCCCGAGTTCTTGTTCATCTAGATCAAACACACCTCCCTGGGCTACGACCAAACCGTCGTAGTCGTGTAAACGACTGAAGAGACGGCTGCCATAAGCATATCCAGTGTCTTGATTGGCGTAATTGGCGTAATACAAACCCACGGCTAGATTGTAGTGTGTGATACAGGGCTGTTGTTGTCCTCCATTGAGACCCACTTCTAGGTTACAATTGGCCTGAAGTGGTTCCTGAGGGTTGACCACATGGCCGGCCGGCAGCCATTGGCGTTCGCAGAGAACGCACGGATAGAGTTGAGCCAAAAGGTGCGGATTTGTAATATTTTCGTCGCCCGCCTCGTCAAACGCTACGATCACAACCGCCACAACACCGCTGCGTTGGGCGTACACGTGGTTGCCGTACTGGCGTCGAGTATTTATCCAGTACTGTAGGGCCGACGCTAGAGTGTTGTGCTGGGCGTTGCCCTGCGCTCCCAAGTAGAACAGGTCAGTGATCTGACAGCGCACCTGACGCACAAAGTTCGGGTCAGTGAAGTACGACCGGTCATACGGTATGCGCCGATTGTTTCCGGTGCCGTCGTCTTCGCCGATCTTCAGTAGGTTATTGCCCGCGACGTACACCCGACGCACCGCTTGAATGCGCCATCGGTGTAAACCCGGCTCCTGCAACTGTGCCATACAGTATTGTCTTTGTTTGTCGTGTCTTTGATGTCGATCTGATCCCAATGTCTTTGTGTCTTACGATCAGTTGATTGTCTTGTGTTGTGCTCTGAATGCGAAACCAGTTTCTGAGTTTTGTTTGTTTTTGTGTTAAAAAAGTTTTAATTCTTGAGATGTATTGTTAAAATTTTTAACGTTATTTTATTTAACCAAAATTGTTTACCTCTAATTAATGCAAAAATGTTTACCAATTTATTATATTATTGGTAGCTTAGTTTTAATGTTTAAAATACTTATGTTTAACAATTGAATTTCCATATTAGAGTTAAAATTGAATTTTAAAATATTTATAAAATGTAAATTAACATAACGTTGTGTTTATTAAATTAGCCTCAAAACCACAAATGCATTGTTAGGAAATAAAGTTTGAAAAACAATTTTAATTGTATCAAATAATTGATCAAAACATTTCTAAAAAAACATCCAATGGAACAGCATTTTAATTAAATATATTTAACAATACTCTCGTTTTAACATAGATGTGTACATTTTAGACACAAATCATGTGCTCATTGCCTCCCATAGCCTATGCCAGAGATAATCTCTATTGAATGCCAAACACTAATCCATTCAATGCTTAATCAGAAAATCACGTTATATTTAATCCATTGGTTTTTGATGAGAAAAATCTGTCATTCAATAGTCAGTTGGAGTTTAGTTGAGCGCAAAAGCTGTTCTCAAAAATAACACTTAATTTGTTTTATTAGTTATATTTTAAGTCTAATTTGATTTTGATATTGAATTTGACTGCAATTCACGACTCGATTAACACTAGTTTTGTCTTTTTATTGATTTAAATTTTGTTCACATAAACGGATCCATTCATTAAATCAGTGGTAAGTCTAATGAAAACTCATTAAAACACGTGTTTTTCATTTGTTTTGTAATTTATGGCCAGAAATGTCACCAAAACTGTCGAAACCGTTATCACCGGGAGATGTGATCACTCAAGACATGCCTATCATTCATGTAATACACGACGAATCCAAAGATAAATATTGCGATAATTGTATGAAAAGATCGGATCAATTGAAGAGATGCTCGAAATGTCTTCACGTGTATTACTGCTGTAAAGAGTGTCAGAAGAATGACTGGAAGTATCACAAGAATGAGTGCAAAGTCTATAGAGATGATGACATTTGGTCATCACTACAGACGGTAGATATTCGGTACAGATTTTTGCTCCGACTCTACCTTTCGGTGCAAAACATTCCAACGTTTGCCACAGAAATGCACCGATTGTTTGACGGATCGGATGTCAGTCTCAATGATCTCAAAGTGGATATAATTGGTAGGAATGAAGACAAGAGTGGAAGTGATATCTCAGCCATTTGTGATGTGTTCACTGAATTGGGTGTCAGTTATGAAGTCCAAGAGCTAAGCGATTGGTTTATATTCATGAAAAATTGTCGATTCATTTTTGACACGCGTAGTGATTGTGGCGATACTGTGGCCAACGGTCTATACATCCAGTTATCATCTCTAAGCCATAGTTGTCTTCCGAACGCCGCTATTGTATACAATGGTATGTATTGTAATCGCGATTATTATAAGTATGTATTGATTGTTTCTATTGATAACCCGATGGACAGGACATACGCCTGAGTTGCGGGCCATGGCATCGATAGCTCCGGGAGAAGAGATTACCGTAAGCCGTGTTGATCTGCAAATGGGTCGGGAGGGCAGACGGATATGGTTGAAAAGTATGTCCATTGACTGCCAGTGCGTGAAATGGGTGAACAATACGGACCGAGACGTGGATTACCGACGACTGCAGCCAACGATTGATCGGTCGTAAGAATACTCTCAATGGCCGACAAGAAAGAAGAGTATTTGCGGTCATTGTTTGCCGATTTGGATGTGGTTTACGGCGATTACAATCCCTGCAAGACATTGACTTTAGTCAATCACTTCGACGCCTATACTTTTGCCCTTATAAATGGCCGCAAATCACCCGACGGTCTGTTCAATGAGATCCGGGATATGACCGAAAAGGCGTTTGATGTGACCAATGCTGACAATTGTCCGTTTAAGCAAACATTTCACGATAATTTGACAACTTTAGCTAAGGGACCTCATTTTAAATTGTCATTGTAACTCTATCTCTCTCTCTCTCTCTCTCTCTCGTTATTAAAATTAATTGATTTTTAAATAAAAATTATGAATAAATTTAATGTTTGTCTGATGATTGTGTTTGAATTATTTAAATGAGATAATTTAAAATAATTACCTTTAATAAATATATTGAATATAATACAGCATATAATGGTTACCAAACCCTAACTCAACCACAATAACTATTAGCAGACAAAGAATTAAATTCAAATACAAAAATAAACTAATTATAATCTATAAATCAAATGCAGTCTATAAATGGTGTTTGAATTGTGTTTTTAATTGACAACAATTTGTGTGAAATATGTTGTAAAGAGTGCTGTCATACCAGACCTACTGATCGGAACTGTGTTTGCGGCGTTTGTTTTTGTTGCGAGTGCTGTGTCGGGAATGGTGTTCACTGCGACCACTGCTCGACGCAGACGAGGGACTCGAGCTGTGGGACCGGCGGCCGCTCAACGAGCCGGCGTCAGGCGGGGGCGGCTCCTGCTGTTGCGGTGGAGGCACCGCTTGCGGTACTGCAGCCGGTGGTTGGGGCACATAGTAGAAGGACCCCCAATGGCCAACGGGTGGAGACAATTGCTTTTTGGCCCACACGTAGCCATCCATACCGATGTAGGCGTTGACGCCATCGCACTTCAGCTCCGGATCGGTGCCATACGCTTGCCTTTCAAACTGATACACGGGATGCAGATGAATGCCCGGTGCAATCCCATACCTGTTCCCGACGCCATCCTTGAGTTGTGTCGACGACTCCACACGTCCCGTATTGTCGTACACCCACTGCACGTGTCGACCGCCCTTATAGGGGGCCGTATACTTGTTGTAGGAGATGGTGGCCTTCGTCGGGTTGTATTGGATCATTGGGAAGGCCGGTGGCATTGGGGGTCGAGCCATAGGATCGATGGCAGCCGGCAACCACGAGGCCACCCGATGCGAGTTGTATGCGATGGGCGGGCGTCGGATGGTTTGGTTGGCTTGAAATCGGTCGCTGTACCGATGGATGCGGACCTCTACCTCGCGCGGAAACATTAGTTCGCCAATCCGTCGCAGATTGCAGATTATACGGACCGCCATTTCCTGTGTCGGCGCCGCAAACGTGTGCTCAATGTGCTGATTGTTGTCCATCTGAACGGTCGCCGTGTGAAGCATTTCGTACTGATTTCGGGCCCATATCTCTTGTACGCCGTCCATCCAAGAGGTGATTGCCTCGAAGCGGCCGCACTCAGGCATCCGTAAAGTACACCAACGCCGGCCAGTAGCCAGACCGTGGGGATCACGGTTAATGGCCAACATCCAGACACTACTGCCGTAGTCGGAGTCGTGTGCGCCCAGAAAGTACACCGGATTGTGGTCGTGTGCGGCCCTCACGATCGGTCTCATCGCTGGGTTACAGACCAGTGGGTGTCTGCCGTTGTCCCCGCAGTTGTCTTCAGTCATTTGGGACAGATTTACGTCATTATCTAATATGGGAACCGCGAGTCGCAGGTGTTCGTCGCACTCGACCACCACTACACCGCCCGCCTGTATGAGTGTCCGGTTGTGTTGATATCCGACGTTGTAATCGTCGCCGTACTCGTCGTGCACAACCAGTTTGGCTCCGGCGCACACATAGATGGCAAACCGGCGCTGATCTCTGTTTGTAAGCGCGTCTAACGCCTGGCCGAAGTTGACGTCGCACAGATCATACACTCCACCTCTGGACGTGGGCCGACCCGCGTATTCCTGTTGACGGGTGAAGTGCCGGCTGCCGCTCTCATAGTTGGCCTCACCCGGGCCAAAGTTGACGTACGCCAGACCCAGCGTAAGCCAGTAGAGCGTCTCGCAGGCCTCGGGTAGCTGTGTGTCCGGATTGATACCCGTCTCCGCGTGATAGTTGGGACGATCCCTGTCATGGATGGGTAGGGTTGGCTGCTCGTTCACAAACCAATGGCGATCGCACCGTACGCAAGGGTAGAGCTGTGACAATGGCATTAGAGTTGAAACGGTGGCCGGGCCCACAGCAGCCATGAACTGGATGTCCATCAACGTTACGGTGCCATAACGGGAGGCGAACACATGGCTGCCGTGTTGGCGTCGGGCCCTGATTTCCCAATAATTTCTAATAGAGTCGGGATCCCTGTGCGCGCCTCCTGTGAAGCCGGGCATCCTTCCCAAGTAGAACAGGTCACTGATCTGACAGCGCACCTGACGCTCAAAATATTGGTCCTCGAAATAGGGCCGCTCTCCCGGTATGCGCTCGAGTTGAGTGTTGTCAGCGTTGCGTTCGCCGATCTCAAGCCGATTGCCTTCCGCGTAAAACACCCGCCGCACCGCTTGTATGCGCCACCGTTGGGGCCCCAACTCATTCAAGTATGGGTTTACGTTTGCCATTGCGTTGTTTGTATTGTGGATCTGATCCTAATGTCTTTGGTCTGACAATCAGTTGATTGTTTTGTGTTGTGCTGTGAATGCGAAACCGTTTTTGAGTTTTTTTGCTTTTAGTGTTGAAAACGTTTTAATTGTTCAAACGATGTTTTGTTGCAAATTATTTTTGATATTTAATTTGATATTTAGCTAACTTATTTTTCTACAACAATACGTCATAGTATTTTTAGATAAATTATATTAAATATAAGTAATATAATAGTCATTTAAACTAAATGAAGGTGATTTATCAAATAATTAAGTTTAAATGTTTGAACAATAGATCGTTGAATATTTATGTCTTTTAAAATGTTTTAAATCAATGTTCACATGTGGTCTAATAATTTCAACAATTCCTATAAATAGTGAGACAATAAAACCGGCAAATAATAGCCAGAAAACACCCCTCAAGTCAGACATTGTTATGGATTTAATTTGTTTTACAGACTTTTCGAGTTCACTGATATCGCGTCCAAAACCCTTAAATCTCAATGAATTTTTCACTTCGTATTCATAGATACCATTGGATTGAAAGCCAGAGAGACTATAATAGCATAAAATAAATTAATACTTTATTTATATCAAACAATTTTATTTATAGGAATAATATGTGCAAACATTTGATTGAACTCATCCATAAATCTCTGGCCTAACGTCTCTTTATTAATGGCAAAAAAATAAACCATTGATTTATCTCTGGTATCGGAAACGTGAATATTGAGTCCATCCAAACCATAGGCCGTGTATTTATCGTAATAATGTTGGTAAAACTCATGGCCGATGTAATTATCAAAATTTTCGTTTATTTTATTAATCATGTAATAACCAATTAGTTTGGGAATCGCCAGCACAGCGTTGTCCTCCACAATTGATAATCCTATCTATTTATTAATTGTTAACTATTTGTCTTATTGTTAATTTTTAAGTGATAATATATTTATATCTAAATAAAATTATTTAAAAATCAATGCGGTTTATTGTAATATAATCTATAACATAATTTAATTAAACTAGTTTTACCTCCAATTGAATGACTAAATCAAAAAAAGTTTCAATCAAATCGTGAACAGCCATTCGGGGGTTAAAGCTCTTTGTAATAGCATTAGTGTATGTCATGTAATAATGGTTGAGATCGTAATCATAGCCCCATATCTTAGAGTCCTTATAATTGGGATCGTTTGCCAATTGATAAAAATTTTCCAACCGATCGTAAGTCTGACCCCTCATAAGAGTGTCGTACAAATCGCCCGAATATAACATTAACAATATTGTGGACACAAACAGCCAAATGCCGGCTAATAAGCGGTCAATGAAATTGGCGTTAGTTTTGACTGCAAAATAGTCGGAGAGAATGACCGCACAATACGACCAAATAGTGTCCAGAAATTGTTTTACCGATCGCTGTCTCAGACCAATGATCGACGAAATTAATATTAAAGACAATACAATGTAAACGTATATCTTATAATCCCAGCAATCGATGAATGTGAATGGCGAGCGTGGAACTTAAGCATGGTAATTATATTTAATGCGATTAGTACATTTTTAATTGATATAATTGATAATGGACAAGGTTAGACAACTTGCTCTACTAAATGACTGTAAGCATACTATACTTAATTGTACAATTTTTTTTTATAAAACTCAGAATACGGACATAAATATCAAACACAAGTTTACTATAGTATCCGCAATAAACAAATACGAGGCTTTATACTTATCGATTAAACCAATAATAAAATTAATCATGGTAATTACTTAGAGCTCTTCGACTTATCAATACGTCGCCATCCAATGAGTCGACAAAACGCGTCAAATTATAGCCAATGAATTGAATGATATCCGTTAGATATGGCTCTAAAGGGAATAACATTAGGTCTCCGCGACTGTTCTCAATCATATCCGTCATGAAATCAAATGCCATGGATTTGAAGTTATCGATTGGCCTTATTTTAAAACTAGTAAAAATGTCATTTTAATTTTATAATTACTTATAAACTACTTCAATAATTTTTTTATTTAATTAGTAATTATATATAATTGATGTTAAAAATTAAACAATACTTAATATTGAAATAACGTGAGACGGCTTTCAAAAGTACTATAAATGGTCCGCAATATTGATAGTACAGGAGTCCAGTCTCGTCGTTGATGTCCTCCAACCCATTGAATGTGATTAATGGCGGATATATTATAGTATTGACCACAAGAGGAGTGGCCGTTGAATTGTGGGCCCAATCCGTGATTGTGTTGTTTTCATTGAGTGTAACGCACTGTCGCTTTTGATATGCGTTTTCCATATGCTGTTTACTAAACTAACTGTTATATCAACTTTATATTATCAATAAATTAGTTTTATGAACTAATATTATATTTCTATTAATATGATTATACTTAAATTAAAAATGTCAATCTTTATTAATTTGTGATTGTTTTATTATTATTTTAATTAATAAATACCTTAATTTAACATACTCATTGCACATGCTACATAACTAACCAAGTATTTTAATAATATAGATAAAAATATTTAACAAATTTAAACTTAAATATTTTGAAATATTAAAAACTTAAGA